GTCCAATCTAATTAACAAACGTCAAAATGTAATTAATTCTATTTAACACAAATTTCTACTCCTAACAAACACCTACGTTTTATTATTTTTGCGAATTTTCTTCTTCAATTTCTCTGTGTCCAAATTTACGTTACTAACGCGTTCTCAGTTTATCCAGATTTCAGATTTCAGAGTTCAGATGAACCTAACTTTCGTGGAAAAGTTTGCTTGTAGACTAGTCCGATCTAACTAACAAACGTCAAAATCTAATTAATCCTATTTACCACAAATTTCCACTCTGTACACCTACGTTTTATTATTTTTGTGAATTTTCTTTCTAAATTTCTCTGTGTCCAAATTTACGTTACTAACGTGTTCTCAGTTTATCCAGATTTCAGATGAACCTGACTTTCGTGGAGGATACCATGAAAAATTCGATTGAAGACCAGTCCAATCTAATTAACAAACGTCAAAATGTAATTAATCCTATTTACCACAAATTTCCACTCCTAACATCTACTTCTTATTATTTTTGTGAATTTTCTTTCTAAATTTCTCTGTGTCCAAATTTACGTTACTAACGTATTCTCAGTTTATCCAGATTTCAGATGAACCTGACTTTCGTGGAGGATACCTTGAAAAATTGTATCGAATTTTAGCCCAATCTAATTAACAAACGTCAAAATCTAATTAATCCTACTTATCACAAATTTCCATTCCAGCACCCACGTTTTATTATTTTTGCGAATTTTCTTCTTCAATTTCTCGCCGATATTTAATCACTCTTGAATTTCCTTCGAGGAAATATTTAGAGGAAATTCTCTATTCTAAAATACGATAAAAAATACCCAGATGGTCGTGATCCGCGAACTTATCTGCAACATTCTACCGCGTGGAGAACGCTCGCGCTCGGAGATTCGAACGACGGAAGAGGAAAGGTCAGCGGACGTGGGAATTCCTCGAAGGAGCCTGAAGGAATATGAACGATCGTTAATCCGGCATGAGCGATTACGCGCGCCATCGAAAATAGTAAGGAGCGAGTGTTTCTCGAGTCTTGAGGCATTCGTTCCTAAAACGGAAACTACTTTATAGTGTTTCCGGTGGCTAATACAGATATCCTCCGCGCGGGGATGAAGCACGCCTATTTTTAGAGCCCGAGTATAATGCCGTACATTCATCGTGCGACGCTCACGGAAACACGTGGCTACAATTGTTATCTCCATTTTGTAACGAAGTATCGTTTGCATATGCGCCATGTTCAGCCAGTTGTAATTGTGTAACAATTGTAATAGAAGTTCTCCAAAATATACCACGCCATAAACCACCAAGAGGAAGTTTGTTTTCACTGGGACCCGCGTTACTGCCTGTTAGACTTAAAAGCAATCGTGGTTTCGTGAGCTTTACCGTCGATGAAGAGGAACGTTCGAGGAAAGACGCGTAATCTTTCAAACCTAGTTGCATTCCCATGGAATTGTTTAAATTGTTCTTTTTTCACCGTGAAAATTACGAAATTAACATTTCTGATACGTATAAAGAATCGTAGATAAACCTGATACACGGATTTCGATGATTTTTTGAAGATTTGGAACAATTCTTTCCTCTGTGCATAAGGAGTGGTTTATTTTGATCTTTCAGATATTTGCAGAAAATTTTCGACACTATGAAATAATACTCTGGGCTATAAGCACAAGCTTGTGATATTGTGTCGTTGTATTATTCAAACGAACGATTATAATTATTTAAAGAAAAATGCAGTAGTATCGTGACATGTATGGTACAACAAGGCCAGGATGACTCGACTAGTTTTTAGCATATAATCTGTTCTCGATTATACGTACATATTAGAATTTTTAACGAGTTACCACGTGGAAATAAATGTAAGAGTTAAAAATGGAGTATGAATAATAAGCCTACCGATGAATAATATCATTGAGAAATAATTGCTAGAACCAGCTTATCAGAAGCTTAGCTATCGAATAACGATATGCTCCGAAATTTTACATTGTTCTCCGATATTTGCATTATTCATTCTTAAAAATCGTTGTTTTCTATAAATAAACACGAGAAGAAATTTCTTCTCGAAGACGATCTGACCCACTAATCGTGAAAAATGATAGTTCGAGGGGTGAGTCCCAAGATAACGATTACAATACTATCACTGACCTCTCGTTTCCGCGGAATTATCGTCTCGTATATACTCCTGTTAATTCCTCGCGGTGTCTCTAATTAATTACACCCTTATAATTATCGTAAAAATCCGTGGATACGTATCTCGAGGAGTTTTTCGTTCGCGGAACGTGACGAATCTCGATATCTATTTCTGTTGCTTGGATAAATGGCACTGTATCAGCAAAAAAGGGAACCAGTGAACGAACCGATGCATTTCAATAGCGATAAGCGTATCATCGTAATGAACATACGTTTCTCCACGAGTGCCATAATGAGCGTCCTTCGGAGTAGTTACTCGCCGATTGTTTCACGAGAGAAAGAAAAAGAAGGAATTCGAAGCCGGTGCACAACGAGCCCTTTGTATCTCGCCCCATTTTTTCCCCCAGATCCAGGCGATGAATATAGCGTTTCTTTTCTCGCATTTACTTCCCCTTTGATTCGGTACCGAGTTATTTTCCGTCGTGTAAGTACAACTCGAGGATGACACAGTTGTGACCCACTTTTTCCATGTCAATTAATTAGGGAACCGAGATTGCTTCTCCTTTATCGCTCGAACGCGAGTGTTTTCTGCTGCAACATCTTCTTAACGTGATTATACCTATTACGTACTTGCGATAGTTCCATAATAAAATTATTTATCTCATACTAGCCACATTTTCTGCAACACTTTGGTTACTTGGAAGAATCTAGCCAACCGTCTTCTTATTTTAAAACAACTTGATAATTTTTCGAGATATTAAGTAACGATATATTTTAACCCTTTGTACTCGAGAGGCGCCTCTCAGTCGCCATTTAATCAGATTCTAAAGTTGGATGTTAATTAATATATCAAATTTACAATTATCCAACAATGCGTGAAATATCGAAGTAAAATAATTCCACGTCTTAATTTCTATACGATTTCTTATTTACCGTTTTAAAATTATCATCGACTTTATGGCAGAAAGTGTTCGAATTACTATTTTCTTGTAACGAAAAAATCCTCGAATGCAAAGGGTTAATAATTAGAAATAAAACTCGCGTCATTGGGGAATTCTTGGATTATAAAACGAGAAAAATTTACCGATTTTATAACAAATAACAAATTGAAGACGAAGACGATTTCCGTTTCTAGAAAAATTGATAAAATGGATAAGGATTACCATCGAATAACGCATAACGTTAAAATTTCAATATTGAATTTACGAAAAGAATGCATATTGGAATCCTAAGTTTCATAAAACATCAACACCCCCCACCATCCTTACCCCTTCGCCGCATAAGAAGGCGTCCTTTTCTTGAAATAAAATACGCGAGTACGTGCTCGAAAACTATGACAATATTTTCTATACGCTACGTAGTGTCCTCTATGCAAAATATTTGTGCTGGAAGCAGCTTCTAGGAAAAGCTCTCCAAACATCATGAATGAAACCATGTAAACTACTACGCGAACTACTGCTCAATCAGTACTACTGTTCAATGTTATGAAAGAGTAACGTAGAAATGAATCGAAGAATAAACGAACGATCGACGATTGTATCACGTGGCAACGTGGAAATATTAGGGAGACAAGAGGTGAGCCGAGGCGAAAGAAGAAGTGTACCATGGCCGGCGAGTTTGGTCGAGGGACGCTCCCTTCTTTGGCAACTGGGTCTCATTTTAATTCCCCGGCCGAAAGAAAGGATCGGTCGGCAGCTGTCGCTCGACCACGGTTCCCTTCCAGCGAACCTGGAACAGACGCGCCACTATCTCAGGTGTAACGAAGGGAACAACCTTCGACCGTGTCCAAACCGCGATAATCTGCCCGTAAATCTCTTCCTTGCACTTGACTTATCCGCGTTCACGAAACGGCTTGTCATTTCCGTCCGGATGAAATTGCCGTCGAATGTTTCCTTGAAACCGTTATGAATTCGTTCCCCTCTTTTTCCTGCGGCCATTACGATTTCGCGGATTTTTTACCGCCGGTGAAATTGTTTCGTGACTGTCCATAACGTTGGAAAAATTTCGTATTTCGAAAGCCGCGTCGTGAAATTTCACGTTTCGTGGAAAATTTAATCTCGTTGATACTTGGGTACCGATGGAGTTTCGAATGGAGGTTCAAATGGAGGTTAGGTACGGTTGGTTACCGTGGAAGTCGTTTTCATGAAAAATTCCGCGGGAGCGTTGATCCCTAGGAAGACGAGGCGAGGTTCGATTCGAGAGTTTGAAAATGCAATTTTCAATCGGTAAAATCACGTCACGATTCTTCTAGCCGCGTTCTTTCACGCCGTGCATTCTAATTACTTATAGGATTACTCTCCGATAAGCGTCATGGAATATCTCTGACGCGAGCGTCGTAATCTGCAGACATGACTAACCGACACGTACGGACAGATTCGAGATAAACGTGTGAATTATTCCAACGCTCCTCGACTCCTAATAAACCGTCATAACATTTACCAACTATAAATTCCTTGCTTAATGCTTCGAATAAACAGCGAAGGTCGGTAAATAACAAAAAGCACGATCACCATTTCTTAATACTCCGATACTCGTTAGAAGATAATTATCTCTATAACACCATACGAAACAGAAAAGGCTCGCTTTTAAATCTAAATCTGCGAAAAGCTGTATCAAAAAGGAATATCTAACAGAAAAACTAGGCAAATTCGAGCGATCGATATCGAGAAAGATCGTGCTTCTTTTTTCATAACCTGCAAATTCATGTATCGCTCCGAATACAGGTGCAATGAACCTCGGCGTAGTGCGCATGCGCGACCACCCTCAGTAGGTCGAATTCCTGGAGGGATGGTCTCGCAGTAGGTCACGAACGACCGGATGAAAAGAAAATACAAATTGGAAAAGAAGAGGAAAGAAAGAATTTCGTTCCTTACCTTCCTCTGCGCTTCCGCCGCGAATCCAGACTTGGTAGCCCTGTTGTTGGCCATTTTGTTTACCCTCGAGTCGTTCCACCAAAAGGAAACTCACAAACAGAACGACAATCGTGATCTATTATCGACCGTGTCACGATGTTCACCGTTCGACGGTTGCGGCTCGACTGACGCGCCTCGGGACCGTGTGCCGATCGCAGAGAGTCCTTTCGACGCTTATTGGCCGTCGCGGGACTGGTCGAGTATTGAGTTTTCGTCTGACGCCGCGACACGTGACCTCCGTTCTCCAGTCTGGCACGAAGATGACGTCAGGCGCCGTCTCTGACGAATTCCTGGAGCCGCTTTCGCGTTGAAAAATTTCTCTGCCAGAGTACCCAAGAGGTGTGTAGCTATGGTGTAATAATGGTACCGATTATGCTTTAATCGCGTTCGCGTTCCACATCGGTATTTTCTCTCGCTTCCAACGAGTTCACCGGCTAAGGTACAAACGAAAATTTCGAAGAGAAACGATATGAAATGAAATTGATAATTTTATTTTTATTATTTCCACGAGTTTATTACTTTGTTTATCGTATTACTGCATGAACGGTATAAATGGTAACGACGTAGAACTAGATGAGAAAAACCTACGCATGAGTAAGCACGTTCTTTTTACGTACTTCGTTAATTTTGTGATTAGCGTTTGGCTGATTTCGGTGTAACGATGATGTCAGCTTCGGATATAGATCGACAAGTTCTTTGAATGGCACTTGGTCCGTTTTGGAGGTATTAAAAATCTTCGAAATGTAGTCTTATCGCACCGTCATAGTCACCGAGGAACTTGTTACCGTTGCGATATTTTGTTAATTTTCGGAAAGGTATAAACACTCGTTATCGAACGCGTTTATTTCGGAGTTGGTAATATCTCTTCTCGTATTATAATCCAGCAGAGCTTCTAACTTTACGATACGGGGTTTACAAATTTTTACGAGGTGAAAGAATGCCGGTTAGGTCGTAGAACCTACGATGAATGTAGACTGTAGAATCCTTCGACCACCTTTATCCTGACCACTTTCTCGAGCCCCTCTGTTGCTTTAGGACGCTGCTGCGACGAGAACTCGTTCTGGAAACGGAACTGGCAATAGAACGACAAAGAATTTTTCACGCGTGCATTTCAATTCTGTTCCATCTTCTCGCGCAAATCGAAATTTTCCACCCGCCGAATCTGCTATCCTTTCTATTTACCCTCGATATAAATTCCTCTTTGAATCGAGGAATTTCGCAAGAAATGTCTCTCGAAAAATACAAGCACACCGTGTACATCGAGGCAGAGACGCATAAATCTTTCCCCACGCTTATTAATACGGCAAACAACGCCGAGCAACGATTAAGACTCCGAGTTATTTCGTCGTTTCGTAATATTTACATAATTTTGCATTTCTAATTTCTCTTCCTCGAAAGTCCGAGTTATCCTCCACGTCGTAGTGAAACTTTTCAACCGAATATTTAACACGGGTTTCGGTTATTACGAATCTCCTGTCCTATATATTCCCTGGGCAAACTGCACGCCGTGATCGTACATCGGTTTACCCGCGTCTCCACTGTATTCTAAGGACGTTCAGTGCCCCGTGAGAAAAGCATTGCCGTAACAGAAGGAATGCATGGAATTTACTTAATAACGAGTTCTCGTCCGTGCAACGCGCAGCTTCGGAAGAGTCTATGTAAAGCTCAGTCCTGCTGA